GGGGTTGGGGGAGGGGGCAGGGCAACCCCCCAGGAGGTTTGGGAGGGGGGTCAGTACTGTCCCCCCCCCATCTCTGGCGCTTTTGCAGTGAGCGGCGCAGCCCCTGGCACCTGTGCCGTGCCTGAGGGCGGCGGGGGGTGACAGGCTGCCCTGGTGCTGAGCCCCCAGCTCTGGCAGCGGGTGCCGGGGTCTGCAGCGCTGGTGGTGCAAGCTCTGCTCTGCTGCTGCCTGTCTCTGAAGGCACCTCGACCTGAGCCTGGGGGGCTGCGTTTCCAGGATAGATGTAATTTCTGCCTATAACTTCTGTGAAACGCTTTGAAATAGAAAATGTACCGGAAATGTTCGTTATTGCTTCTCAAGGGAGAGGAGGAAAAGCCTGAGAGCGAGAATTCTGGGAAGCGAGAAGAGCAAATTCAGATGCTATTTGACTCAGGCTTTTCAAACTCCCCCTGGAAACTCATAGTCCCTAGAGATGGCTGAGGCCAAATTAGCAGACAAGTTCTGTGGTGCCTGAGCCCTCACTGCTGCCTTACTCTTATCTTCAATTTGTTTTCCAGGGAGATCTAGGTCCTTTCAATCCTGGCTTACCAGTGGAAGTGCCTGTCTGGTTGGCCATTAACCTGAAGCAGAGGCAGAAGTGTCGGCTGATTCCTCCGGAATGGATGGATGTTGGTAAGGGTGGTGGATTCGGCCCTGGGCTTCAGTGGGTGCAGCAGAAACACTGACTTAAAAAAAAAAATAATCTCTGATTTTCACCATTAGTGGGAAGCTTAATTCAACAAACACCAAGTAACTCAGAGAGAAGGATCTAATGTTCCACCACTTTATATTATTATATAATTCTTTATATTTACAGAAGATGTAATCTTCCCAGTTAAGTCAGGCATTTAACTTCTGTTCCTCTGGTGAGGAGGAAGAACAAGGATGAGATTGAATCCCCCATCCTGACATTCCTCTTCAGCAGTGGTTGCTGCTCTTTCTGAGCAGCACTTGCATCTCTCACAAGGCTTGTTCAGAAAGAGCTTTGGGGACCTTGGATGACTCTCTGTGAAGAGAGGGACCTTGGAGAGCACATATGTCTGTTAATCACTGGTTCATTCACTCCATTAAATCATTTTCCTTGAGGGCATTGGAAAATCATCTCACCCTCTAAAAAGGGAGAATCCTCGCACCCTTCCTTTTGTCGTCTCAAGGGAAACTGTGAGAGAAGAAGTAAACACCAGTGGAGCTGCAGTCAGAGGGAGGCCTGCACCAAGCATCCCCGCTTTATTAATTCAAGGGCACAAATGCTAGTTAGCACAAGTGCTGTGTGGGTGAAGGGACTGTGTCTCAGCAGATGATGGGTTTGGGGATCAAACTGGTGTAGAACCCCCCTCCCAGCATGTTGTGCTAAGCGTGGCCTCAGTGTCCCTGTCAGCACCCACGTGTCTGCATTACAGAAACCTTTTTCTGTCCGCACGTTGATTTAAGCTTGGACATAGAGTCGGTCCTATAGAAATAGCACATGGGTTTTCCTAAGTGGAGGGCTGAAAATATGCCTGTAGTGTCAGAGGCCTGGCAATGCCTGACCATTCCTGGTTGTATTTTAGAAAAACTGGAGGAAATCCGGGACCAGGAACGTAAAGAGGACACCTTCACTCCAATGCCTAGTCCCTATTATATGGAACTCACAAAGCTGCTGTTAAACTAGTAAGTAGGAAATGTATTGTAACAGTTTCTGCCCGAGTACATGCTTGCATAGACAATTTTTCAAGCTTTCGTTGGCAGCAACCCCAGAGGGCGGTGGGAAAGTGAGAGTTAATGGAGGTTTATTTCACAGCGTGCCAAGATCTCGTTGCAGCAGTTTTCTCATGGTAACTTTGCATTTCAGTAACTTGGGGATTGCTTGTTCTGTGGCCTGATAATTGGGGCTGTGCTGCTTTATTGAGCGGCAGCTAAGCGTAGAGGCCTTGAGGATCGGCAGCGCGTTCCGTGGCTGCAATCTGTTCAGCAGCCTGAACCCTCCAGGCTTCTTCCTTGGCTCTCCTTCAGGAGGAAAGCTCCTCTTTCCTCAGCCTGAGAAGCAGGAGACCAGGGATATTCCGAGTCTGAACTCCTGCCTGCTGAGGCATTTCACTTGTAAAATGTGCTGGCTGGTATTTTTCTCAGCGCAGGCTCTTCTGACTTTAAGCCCTCAATTACGGCGGGGTGATCATTTAAGCACTGGCTTTTCCTCTGGAGATGACGCTCTTGGCGTGCGGCTCCTTCCCTCACGCTAGAATAACCCTGACAGCTCTGTCCGTGTGAATTGATCTGATCTCTCGAGGTCCTTATGGCAGCGCTGAATTGCCTTAATGGGAGGATGTGGCACAACTCGTACAGTCCTTTCAACTTAATACTCTCTGATAAAGCCACGAGAGCACAGAGCCGGGGCTCTAATCACAGCCGAGTCCTTTCAATTCCCTGGCTGCCTGTGACTTTGGCCGGGTTATTGGCCCTCCGTGTACCTCGTACCAGCTGGGCAATTAAAGAGCAGAAGGATTCTAGTGAGAACCAGATGCTGCATCAGAGCTGAGCATTCCTGGGTAAATAAACTATCCCAGAAATCCCAGCAGCAGAAGTACCAGGCTGGATTTTAATGTTGAGTTGCAGGTTGTTTTTTTTTTTTCTCTATAGCAAACTGTTCGGCTCGTGCCTCAGAGGGCTGAAGAGCTGCCAGCGTGACTTAAACCGGTGACATAACGTACGAGTCCCTCATCAGCCTGTTCTGCTCTTCTCTCTCCTCCTCTAGTGCCTCGGACAACATCCCCAAAGCGGATGAGATTCGGACGCTGGTGAAGGAGACCTGGGACACGCGGCTCGCCAAGCTGCGGCTCTCTGCGGACAGCTTCGTCAGGCAGCAGGAAGCTCACGCCAAGGTGCGGCGGGGACGCGCGGGGCGAGGTTTGCCAGCTCTGTGCTGGGAGGATTCCAGATGCCGTGCGATTGTGTGGGCTTGTGACTGATGAGAGCTGCTCGTGAAAAATGCTGGTTGGGGCATGTTTTTTTTTTTCCTGGATTGTGGCTACGTCAGTTGGGAACTAAAGCCATATGCTGAAACCTCGCTTTATGGGCTGGTTCGCAGCTCCCCGTGCCTGGTGGAAATGGTGCTCTCAGTGCTCCTGTGCTGCAGGGCCGGGCCCTTGGGGTGTCACTGAAGGGAGAGTGTGGGCTGCAGAGCTGCTCTCTGCATTCCTTGTCCTCTGCTGCGACAGGGCTTTTCCCCAAAATTCTGTTCTTTTCTCTTTTAGCTGGATAACTTAACCCTGATGGAGATCAACACGACTGGGACTTTCCTTACTCAAGCTTTAGATCACATGTATAAGCTCCGGACTAACCTCCAGCCTAGCGAGAGCACCGACTCGCAGGATTTCTGAGGTACAGGCCAGGCCAGCCCTCAGAACCTCCCAGGAGAGAGCAGTGGAAGGGAGCAGGCCCTGCTCCTCCCCCTGGCCAGCCTCCACCGCCCTCCACCAATATCCCAAAGCCACCCAGGCTGCACCAAGGCAGGGGAGAGAGCAGGGCCAGGTGGGCAGTGCTCCAGAGCTGCCGTGGTTCCCGGGAGCATCCCTGCACGGTCCCTTTTTGCAGCCGTGGGCCCAGGAGTGTCCCTGCACGGTCCCTTTTTTGCAGCCGTGGGCCTCTTTCTTGGGTTCAGAGCTCTGCTGGGTGCAGGTGGTGGCTTGCCAGCGCGAGGTTGCTGTCGAGTGATGTCAGGCAGATCTCTCCGCCCTGGAGAGTGTGGGTGTACTTCATAGAGGGAACTTCTGAGGGCAGCACAGGCCACACACTGGCTTGAAAAGCAATAAATTTCTAGGCGGTGCTTCGCCATGAATTTTCTCAGAGGCTTGAAAAAGGGGGAAGCTGTGCCGGCAGTGAGAGGTGTCTGCTGCTCTGCTGGGGAGATCAGCTGGGAAGCAGATCCATCTGCTCTTTGGAGAAGGACAAAAGAAAATGGTTTTCCCTCTCGGAAGCCAGGCTGTAATATCATGTGTCTAGCTTTTTCTTTTTTTTTTTTAAAAAAAAAAAATCCGAGACTGTGTGTATAAAAAAATAAATTAAAAAAAATAATTGCAGCTGAGTGAGCAGCATCAAATTAGTCCCTGGGTTCTGTCGCACGCTGTGCATCAAGCCTACGTGGGTTAAACAATGCTTGGAAAAACCCACAGCTCTGCTCCTTTGGCTCCGACCCCCTTCCCCTGCGGCAGCCCGACAGGCAAGGGCAGGATCCTCCCCGGCGTCGGGCTGCTGTGCTGATGGCAGATGTAATTATTAGGGGCGAGGGCGGCGGGGGGGAAACGGTGGCAAGCCCTGAGCGCTGCCCTTCCCCGAGCATCTGGGCCAGGCTCCTGCCTGCCATCTGTGCCCTGCCTGCCCTGCCTTCCCCCCGCGCTGCCCGCGGGCTGGCGAGGGCAGGAGCTGCCCTGGGCGAGGCTGGGGGATGCTTGGAGCGGGGCTGCGTTCCCATCGCCGCTGGGGGAGAAACGATCCTTTGCCGTCAAGTGTGGAAGAGTTTATTATTTAATTTTTTTGGTTTTTTGGATGTTTTCAGAAATTACAGCAATATATTCATAAATACCTAATTACTACATTCAACAAATAATATATTACATTACAATTAATTCAAACAAGTACACTTAGAACATGTTTAGGGAATTTTTTTTTTTTTTTCTCCTTTTTGGGGTGTTGTTTTGTTTTCTTTCACAGCATCTAAACTGCCCCCAGCAGGCTCTGCCTTGCCTTTCCCTCCTCGCAGCGCCCCCCCTCCGCCCCAGGCTCTGGCGCAGCTGCTCGAGCAGTTCTGCACGGGGTACATACACGCAGACACGACTGCTCGCCACGGCCCCGGTGGGAATAATTTGGAGAAATTGGTCCAAAAAATGTGATTACGGGCTGGTATGGGGGGGGGAAAGTCAGTCCAGGAGCTGCCACCAAGCGGGGCTGCATCCCAGCCAGGCTCCTGCCCAGGGCCTCATCGCAGCGCTGCGGTGGCGGGGGATAAATTGCTGATGATTTTCCATCCCTGGCTCGTTCCCCCCCCCTCCCACCACCCCCCCAGCACCCGCCAAGGGAAAAAGCGAGTGGAGCAGCGAGT